TACTTTATAAGTTTATAAATTTTCCTTAAGTTTTTGGCTTGATGCAAAATTTATTTATTTCATAAATAAATACCCCTGCAAATGATGGTCTTCAATCATATTTCATCCAAACAAATACACAAGTACGAAGAATCATACATAAGCAATGCTATTCATGGGCTTCTAAGCTAAAAGGTGATTAAAATCATGTGAAATAGAATCCAAAAAAAAAAACCCTCATTTTCAAAAGTTGAAAATCCTAACGATGATCCATGGAGTCTGATTAACAAGCACAAATCATGATCAAAATATAAAAAAGCTGAAATTAACCAAGTTATCTAACTTTCGGGTCAATCTTGAAGAGTTGCGTTTTTTGGGGGTATGTCAAAGATGAACTGGTCCACAAAATGGACGATTGTTTTACTTGAATTTTGGAACCACTTGAATCCTTTCTCAAAGTGCCATTTCATGCAATAAAAAGTCCACTTCAATGGAATCAACATCTTGAAAAGAAACAGTTGAATAAATTTGGAAACCGTGGCCCAATTAAAAACTCATAATGGGCTTCGTCATATTTCCTATGTTCAGTTCTGGGTACTGAACCAGAAACAAATAGAAAAGGAATATGAAAAGCAATAACTTGAGACATTTAACATGCATTACATCTTGACCCCCCAAGAAAACTTGCATTAGATGAAAATTGGGAACGTAATCTTACTGTCTCTTCCGACCAAAAAGAAACAGGAAATGGAATGTTGCAGTTGAACATGACAGAATGTGGTTCTCGCTTTCTTTTCCTTTAGACATAAATAATCTATTAACCAAGATAATAATTAATTAGCCATGTATAATAATTATGAATATTAAATCAATTATTAAGAAACTCAATGAAGATAAGTGGCACCACCTTTTATTCAAGTTTCCAAAGTTACAAACCCGAGGCACACACTATAAAGTAATGTGAACAGTATGCTGCAATTGACAAAATTAAAAACCGAGCCAACACACATAGCTTTTGGCCAAGCAATACTTTATATCCTTCGTATAAAAACCAACCATTTTTCCCCTCCTTTCTGAATATTTCTTTTCCCGCTTTTAGGTTTACGATTGCAAAGTGAGGATTGGTGGCCGCATTCCAAGTGCTTAGAGATTTTATATATATTATTATTGGGTGCTAACTCAAAACACCCAATAATATATATGAATTTATTTCTAAAAAATTTAATTTACTTCAAATCTCTTTGATAGAAGTTTATTTATATAAGTGTTCATTAAAATATTTATCTAAAGTGCTAATTCCGTAGATCAAACAAATTCAAACTTGAATTTTTGTCCCGGACCCTATTTTAATATTGACGAAGGTTTATTAGATGTATGAACTTGTAAAGTATGAAGACATGCACATATGAAAAGAAATAGATGGCTTGAACATCTTGTAGCCCGTGAACAATGCTCCAGGTTGGTGTTTCTTTTATTTTTGTTATTTATTGTATTAGTGGAGTTTAAGTTTTTTTGGGATATTGATGTGAACTCTACATGGTGTCTGTTCATGATTTTATTTTTCTTGTTCTTCTAATTAATCGCCATCTTGACACATGGCTGCAAATTAATATAGTTCAATGAACTAGTCCTGATTTGATGCTTTTCATGTTCCATTTACCAAAGCAATGTAGTAATCAGAAAGCGAGGTAGAAGAGAAAGTGTAGGAAATTTCAATTCATCTTTACTCCTTTAAGAAAGAAGACAAGAAAGATATAAATGCTATGATTAATTAATGACTAAATGAAGCAATAACAAAGTGATGAACCTTATCTCCCTTTCCATTCACTATGTGCATTTTGGTCGTACTCTCTCAACTCTGCTCTTTTGCTTCATACTTTATTCCTTCATAATTTTGGAACAAGCTTTCGGCTAAACAGCATCCCCTCTCTCTTCTGTCTATTCCATTCTTTATTGTTTTTTCATTGCTTAAACATGCAAGCCACAAAGTAAAATTCGTACCACTTCATTTCCTTTCACCCAACATTAATATGATCATATTTAACTTTTTACCACATTTAAAATTTGCCTTATTTTGCTGCATCCAAGTCAAATCTTACCCTATCATTTTTTAGAGGGCGTCTTTTCATTATGTTAAAGAGGAATATTAACAATACTATATAGTATAGTCTCTATTGTTAAATGAAATTTTTCAATGGTGTGTTTAGATAAATAATTTAATTTATTATTTAATAAACTCTTATACATAAGAGTTTATGACATAAATTCAATTATAAAACTGATTAAAATAAATTTAAAAAATTATAAATTGTTTTCATAGATTAATTAATCATAAATTCTTTGAAATGTTCCTAAGTTTTATTAATTGAACCAAAATGAATTTTAATTACTAATAGACACCAAGTTTACACACACACACATGCACATGCATATATTTCTAGCATTGTTTTTATGGATGTGAAATAGGCTCGAGTTTCAGACATGTCATGCTACTTTCTCATAAAGATTTTGCTGGGTGCATCTTTTAATGACTAAGACAAGAGAGGTTTATTTATTTTGGAATATAAAATAAATATAACTAAGACAAGTGATCAAAAATGTTGTTGAAGAGGTGGTGGGGTGGGGATGATAGATGTCATGGTGGCTCTATAGGGTTTTGATGATTAAGCAGACGACCCTTTTGTCTCCACTCTGCCACTATGGAGGTCCATGGTTAGCACTATCACAAAGCATAATAAAGAACACCACGACATCCACGATATTAGACGCTCCCCCTCGAGACTAGCTCATATCTAACCTTCTTTCTCCATCTTCTTTTGTGGCATCCAAAGAGAGAAATGCATGTAATTAAGCTAAGCAAAAGCCTATAGTTTAAGCTAATTATCTTTTAAATATGAATCTTTGAATTCATTTGTAATGCACACTGTACATATATAACAAACGTTTAATTCCTATATGCCTTGTGGATTGTTTTTCTTTTTGTGAAAATGACTAAAGGGGGGATGAATATATATCATTATATGTTTGCATGCGAGCGTTGATAATTATGAGTGCTATGACTTAATTTAATTAGGAAGAATCAAAGTGATCATTGGTGGGGAATCGTAAACATGATATTCATTATCGGGCAGGCAGACCATACATACGTATAAATATGAAGTTTAGGTGCCATCATTTTTATTATCTCGGCTTCACTTTTTGTTGCTTTTTCTTGTTTGCTTTTCTTTAATTATCTGTCTTTTATTCTTTCCATAAAAAATCTGAAATAGAATGGGGACAATGAGTGCCTCAAGGACTAGAGAGTAGTGCTATGTCTTGTGTTCAGCATCAAAGCTTCAGAAACCATATCTGAGCATTCACCACCATCATTCTCACTTTTGAACCTCTAACCCCTCAAGGGGCCTGTATGGAACTTTTAGCAACAGCCCCACGAGTATATGGTTAATTTTACAACCAAAAAAATTATGAATTTTCGATTGGGCTTGTTTCTCGCTCACTCCTTCTCTCTTTATCCTTGTCATATGGACACCAAAAAGTGGGAAATTCCAAGTTCCCCAACAAAAAGAGAGGATAAAGAGCTAGATTCTACATCCTACAGAAAACACCCCCAAAGCCCTACCATTTATTGAGAGGGGAAAAGTATCTTTGGCTTTTTGGTTATATACTTAGGATTCCTCACCCCTCTCACATTAAAGGTTATTTTGTTTACAAATAAAGGAACTTCGTGGGGGAGGTTCATTCTTTAATGCAAGATAAGGAAGCAAGAGATGTAAAGGAACCTTCGTGCACTAGTATACACATTTAAGACAAAAATAAAGGAAGTTTAGTGCCCAGTTGGTCCCCTTTGCTATATGAGTGCACATGGCATTCTCTAATTGGTCTACAAAATGCCGATTATTGTTTAACTTGCAGATTTAATTACCATAATTACTACGGTCATTCTTTTCCATACTTGCCATAATAATGAGTGAATTATAAGCTATACAAATTCATGATCAAGTAGCCCAAACTCCCATGTACTACGTAATATTTTGGCCCTCATGATGAATGATAGTGGTGGGAACCAAATGGCACGACAAAAATCCAAAATTCTCATTTAATTCTCCTACTTTTTATGGCCAGTGAAATGGCGTCACATCTGCCCTCCTGCCCCAATCTGCGAATTTGGTGGCCACAATTCATATCAAATAAATATACTCAACAGACCTTAAACCCATTCATTAACCACGTCTCTCGTGAATAAACTAATGAACCCTTGTCTAGATAATTAATTGGGAGGGAGGGTGGCTACTATGTATTCTATGTAGCCTTTGCTGGCACGAGCTATAAATACCCTCTTTTTAGATCCATCTGATGCTAAGGTCTGTTAGCTTTGCACGTCTACAAACTTGGCTTATGTGCTTTTCTTTTGTAAAAGGGTTAGGAAGTGACCAGTTTTGTGTTTGCGATGATAAAATTTATATTTGTATTATTGTCCTTCCATCCCAGTGTTTGTCCTAATATATGTCCCATTAACCCTATAATTCAGAAGCAAGCTTTCGGTTAATATCCAAAACTCTTTCTCCACATGAACCTGGAGTTAAAATTATAATTATTAATTGTTTCAATGATCACCATTTCACTTGTGAGTTATATGATTTATATAACCTTCTTTATATTATTTTTTTATTTTTTCTCCCAATCACATCAAATTTTTCAAAATTAAATAGAACCCATCTCACTGCGTCGGTCTAATGAGGGAATGCAATTCTAGTGTATTAATTGATTGATGGAAGCAGCAGCTACCTTTAATTAATTGGCAGGTCTTAATAAATTGACAAGTGGAGTAAGACACGTTGGGTTGGGGGATCCACATTTGGAACTATACGAAAACCCTTATAAAGCAGGAATAGTATAGTACATGTGGAAAGTGACCAGGACCCTTCTGAATGAGGATGACTTAGATATTTTACTATTCACTCATGAATTCTCATGTACACCATTAAAAGGCATATGATAATAATAATTCAAGTGAAGGGGGAAATCTGTCGTCTAATGGATCAATCAAGTACCCAAGCTTTCGTCATTGATTCGTGGCTCCATCAATTATACAGAACACGCAAACATCCAAGAGCAATGAGAGAAGTACGTAATAAGCGAAGATTGTCACTAAGTCGCTATAAGTTTCTTCACTATGGTCCATCTATGCAGAAAGCCAGAGACATATTTTGATGAACAAGGGTCTAGACAGCAGTGTATGGATGTGATGGAGAGTATGGGAAGTTGAGCCAATAAGCAGTTGTATGGTTGTCATGCAAACGTAGGGGTGATAATTAAGATTGCATAATATGCATGGTTACTTTTCTGCGAAACACTCTGGGAAACAAGCCTTGGTGGTATATGTTAATGTTATTGTATGAAAAAATAATATACCTTATGTCGGGGTTATGTGGCTAAATGACAAGCTCTATCAGCTGAGCTTTTTACGATTTGTAGGGAAGAAATCCTGAGTTGAAGTAACATTTTTAAGATATGTTACTTTTTCCTGCTTTTGCTCTTCTAACTTTAATTTGTACTAGTTGTTTACATGATTTTTGAAGTAATTATAATAAAGGCTTCTTCTGTAGGTTGTTTCTACCTCATCTTTAACTTCACTATGAATAATTTATTTGTTAAGAAATATTTGATGTGAAAATAAAATGGAAAAAATATGTTTAGTGGTCTTGGTGAATGATTCATGCATGAAGATCCACGTTAATGCAAACATTATCTGATATTTCAGGAAAGAGGAAACGGGCCTATTGCTTGATAGAATGTATAATACCATAATAGCACAGTCTGGGGACGGTCACAAGCAGGCACTAACTACTTGAGGAGTCATAATCACTGATTGGCCATCTTTATAGCTAGCGGGACCGAGTAGTTCATCTGATTCAGAGTTTTGCCTCACTAGATTCCAGAGAGGGTCTTATAGTTTCTTTTCCTTCAGTAATAAGAACAAATTGCAAACCTACAAAGTATCTTGAATGAGAATCATGTGGTATGAGCTAGCCATGCCCAATAGTATACACGATATTTCAGTGGACTATAAGCTTTTAGGATAAGAAAATCTAATAATTCAAATTGTACATTTAGATGCAAGTGGATGTATTATATACAATTTTCACGTTCGAATTACTCAAGGTCACGGATCCCGTGAATCACATGATTCATTCAAGAATGAGTCAAGAATTTTTTTGGATATAGACTATAGATTAGAAGAGAATGAGAAATAAAAACATACGTAAATGAAAGAAATCTATGAAATTAATAGTCATTATTAATCAATCCAATACACAGCACACAGGAAAAGGCCCCAAAGACCTTTTACCACTATTTTCAAAAGCCAATTAGGCCACTATGTAAAGAGGGTTTTCCTCTCTTGAAAACAAATCAAAAAATTCAAAATTTAAACCTATATATACACGTGTTTCCATCACACGTGCGGACACTAGCCACGGAGTCCTGTATAGTTAGGCCAAAGCTCGAGGCCGAAGAAGAAAAAATATAAACAGCTCCCGCCACGAAAAACCGAGAAGAAAAAATAAATTCACGCGTACACACCTAATTGGCACGCACCAGAGCCGTCTGCACACGTGCCAGTACCCACCGGAAAAGTCCACAAAATGTAGCCAAGTTCAACTTAATCCTTCAATTATTTTTCATTGTTGAGGTATCTATCCCACCAAAGGAGATGTTAAAGCAGTGATGCTGGCCAAAAAAAGAAGCTTGACTTACAAATCCCATAACATGAACAGTTCAAACTTCAAAGTTTCAACTTTCAATCACCCACGTTGTTTTTTGATACCTGCTCTCTGTTTTTCTTCCCAATTAATCTCTAGAGCACTGCCCCACCATCTTTCATGTCTTTCATCTATAATCAATGCAACCTTTGAATTTCACTCCCCAACTTCTTTCCTTCTTCCACACTTACTAGAACAAATCACATTAAATTCATTTTAACACTGTTTCTGTGTTTCCTGTCTCACTCCCACTCCTTTTCCTGCATCAACATGTTACAGAATCCCTCTCCCATAGGGAATCTGCAAACCCATTAACGAGCCACCGACATAAAATAAATATTAATAATTATAAATTCTCCGAACCCATCAAACTCTCGTACATACGATATATATATTATAATAATCTACACCCTCACTCAAGTCAATTTTTAAAAGCAAAAACCCTCCATAAAATGTTGAGGTTTCTAGACAGCTTGATCCACTTTATTTCCTCTCTTTTCCTTTCTTTTCTTTATTATTAATCGTCGTTCCTTTTCTCTTCACTTGGAGTTTCCTTTGTCATCATCTACCCATAAACAATTATTTAATTTCCTCCTCTTACAAGACACTGAGAAGGAGGATGAAGAGGAGGACGATGAGAATGATAAGACACTTGACCTCATTCGGGTCCGAGTTGTTACTCGAAGCTGTGGCAACACTTTAGGAAGCTTCCTGCGGTTATTGTTAATCACGAGTTCTTGCATCAACTGGTAGCAACCTATAATTTTTTCCTGCAACAATCAGATGCACGTGCTTTAGCTAGCAACCCGGTCGATTTTCCTTTCCAACGTATATAAAAACCCACTTTATTATTATTATTTTTACTCTATAATAATTTACATACTACATGCTTACTTTTCTTAGTCCCTCGCACCATGACTCAGCATGTTCAGGCTTAACTACAGACCAATTAGGAATTTCATTAGCTGCAGAGAGTATGGCAGCAGCAGCAATGCATGATGGTCTATAAGCAAGAAAGCTAGCCTCTGCAGACAAAGTAGTAATCAAACAGGAAACTCGTTAATCTTAGTTTCTCATATTGCAAACCTTCGTCACACTTTTAACTTTATCCAATGAAAATGACCTATTTAGAGGATATACCTTGGATATTAGATAAGATGATTTCTGTAGCCCATGAAATGAGGAACCCAGTAAATGTTCCAGTTGAATCTAGCTTGCAGGCGAAGAAAGCAAGGAAGCTAAGTGGGGTAACCGATCTTAGCCTCCAATCCAAGACACCCAAAACAAGTAGCTCCATCCTAAGAATAGTTCTCGGCTCAAATATGTATTTGGCACCTTCTACCTGCAGTTCATACGATATGAATGAAGTACTATTATGTACTGATATGGTAATTCATCGTGGAGTTTTAATCATTAATGTTGATTGATTTTCATTATGAAGGAGCGTCCATTTGAGATAGTCAAAGAGTTTGAATTCATATGGATAAGACTATACCTGAAGGTCCAAGAGAGACGGAACCAGAGGTTCCTCCATCTTTGCCGCCAAAGACAAACATGCAACGGATAGAAGTTGCAGAGACCACGCATTTGTTTGCTGTAAACACATACAACAGATCATATCAAACACTAATCGAAAAGGTCATTATCATCATCACCACAATAATTGTTTCCATTATCTCGATTAATAGTAGTAATAATTTTCAAACTTTCTGGCACAAATAACAGCATTGCATCCCTCACGTGACATGCACCTGCCAGATAAAAGTACTAAAACCCTCTGCAAGCTGTCACTATCCCCTGTATATAGTACAACAGTATAGTATGGCGGGAAACACATTGCTTATACTTACACGTAACACGTTATTTGTTTTTCTTTTTTTAAGTTAATTAACTATCTTACAATAACCTATAAGATAATAGTATTACCTTTGCGTAAAATTCATCGTTTACATAAATTGAGAAGTTAATGGAATAGTAACTCTTTTTAGATTCATCAGAGAACGATGAGCCTTAGAATTTCCTTGACATAATTATCATTAGAACTTATAATATTTGCACGTAACCAGCATGTCAACAGAAAAAGCACGACAGCGATGATATTTTATACATAAATATACTACACAAGTTATCATGTATGTGAACATATTTTATTATAATCAATTATTATTTAATTAACGATCATAATTTTATTTTTCTAAACGCATCCCAACTCAACTCCAATATATTTATATTAATAATAAAATAATTTCGCATTACTTACTCAACTTATATCATTATCAATTATTGTCTTTTATGAGACGCACATTATGAGAGTATATACAATCAAGCTTGCATAAAATAATATATACATTTGAAAAACGAAATAAAGTATCAACAATAATATTCATGTCCGTCTCTTTCACCTCATTTTTCAATCACATTTTCTTTTCTTTTTTATGTATCGCCTTTCTTCTTCTTCGCCTAAAAGTAGAATATACAATGAACATTATTCACGTTTGAAAAGTCAAACATAGTTACCTCGTAGAAATTAAATTTTCTTCTCTCGCACGTAATAATAATAATAATAATAATAATAATAATAATAATAATATTATTATTATTATTATTATTATTATTATTATTAATGTAGCATTTTAATTTAAGGCTGCCGAGAAATGAGAGCTCACCGGCAATCGGCGAGAATCCAAAAACCGATCCATATAATTGACGGCGAGGTACGCCGTCAAAGGTTGAAAGCCGTAATACGCGTGTACCTGCGAGTCACGTATCACACAGTCACTCAATCTGCATGAAAATCCAAAAGCAACAAACAAGAATAAAAATAACGGCGTTAATCCACGGTTAACTTCGTAGTAACAGTTCGTAACGATACAGATCTAGAATAGACCAAGATTAGAACCAAGGCCGTGACGGAGAGGCAATTACAACCGCGGTGCATTTTAGCGTCAAGCAGTTCGGCTAGTGGCAATAGCGTAATATTAGCGCAACGGAGTGTCCTATTGTGAAAGAAGGTGGTTTTGCTGTGTTACCTTGAGAATCCATGCAACGGATTCTTCTCTGGCGTTGGCGTCGAGGGAGTGAGATTGGAACCTCGAGAGGTACTCGAATCCAGGGACAAAGTTGCGCTCGTGTTCGATGAAACTTGCAACGGAATCCTCTGCCGACAGAAATGATGGAGGCGGAGAGGAATTGAGGTCGGAGGAGCATTCCGGCGACTCTCCGGACAGGATTCCGGAGGTGTCCTCGCCGCAGAGGAGGTCGTAGTCGGAGATACAGGACACCGACATGGGGAGCGCCGGTGGTGCTTCCTCATTCATTGTGCTCCCATGTCGATTAGACGGAGAGGTAGCCGGAAATGACCGGAGAAATCGCCGGAGTGCTGATTTTGCAGGGAGAGAGAGAGAGAGAGAGAGAGATAGAGACAGTGAGTGTGTGTGTGGCAGAGTGTGGTTGATGAGAGGGAGATATTGTCTTGGGTTGAAGGCTCGGTATCTGATTGTGTTGACTATAAATATGCGGTGTTTGCGTCTAATTTGTTAACAGAATTATGTCAAATTTTAACGCTTAAATTATTTTTTAAAAAAAATTATGTGATTTGAAGTCTAAAGTTAACTAATTCTTTGATATAATAATTTTATTTAAGGCAGATAGAGTAAAAAAATCTATTCAAATGGGATAAAATTACTATATATAACAAAACTTGTATTTATTAAGATTTAAATTCTAAATCACATTCATCATATTTGATACGGGTAGAATTCAGTGGTAGACTTACATAAATTTCAAGATGTCTATTGAATTTTATTTTTTTTAATAATAGTATTAACGATTTCTTTTAAAATAATATCTAAAAGACATAAAACAAGAACTTAATAAATAATATTTTTAATAAAAAAATTATTATAAATAAATTTATACCTTTAAATATACATTAAAGTTACAATTTTAAAAAATTGAAAAATAATAAACATTTAAATTCTTAGAATTTATTTTCTTCCACAAATATCTACGCTGGAATTTCTCCGGAATGTATATAAGTTTTTTATTTCTTTTCAACCAATTCAATAAGTTTTCCATTTTGGGCCAGAAATGTTTGGAATTATGATAAAGAATTGGTAACGAGAACGAGATTAATTTAGTTTTCTTTTCTATTTCTTAATTTTTATTTATTTTTAGACTCAACATTTCTTATAGTTATTAAAAAATTTATTTGACTTAATTTATTTCTTATTAAAAATTTTCTAATTTAAAATTGTAAATTCAAGTTAATCGATTCAGCTTGACCTAGATAATGAATTTATGCTTAGTGAAGTTCAAAAGTTCAAAGTTATTCAAGTCTAGAATGTCGACTCACATTTAATTGACTTAAATTTTATTTTTTTTACTTAAAGAGTTTATTCTAGATATTATATTTATAAAATATTAGATTTTAATTTTCATAATATTTTGTGTTAAAAAATAATATTAAGTTCAAAAATTTAAAATAAATTCAAATATATTAAAACTCAACATCACCAATATATCTAACTAATATCTTCATCCATTCCTCCATTCTCAAATTTAAATAGTCTCAGTTATTTGAATGTCTTTCAGAAAGCTTTATATCTAGGAAGTGAAATAAAGTTACACTAGAAAAAAAAAATCCTAGTTCACGTCGTAAGCCTCTGGTCTTTTTTAGTAGCAAATCTGTCCCTGGGATGCTTCTTTCTTCTTTAGGATGTTTCTTCTTCCTGTTTGTGAATACTTTTATCTCTTTAATTATTATCTCTCCTTTTTATTTTCTTGTTATCACTTTTCTTTTCTTTTTTCTTTTTTTTTTTTTGGGTCACATTTCTTCCTTATAACCCATTGAAGTAGTCCTTTATGACTCTCTAATTATTGAAGTGTCGTTCTGCAACATCATCAAATTAGTACAAATCTGTGTTACAGCTTTAATTTTGACTCAGGCATGTACTAATTTGGAAGGTATACAAAAAAGAGAGAAGAAAAGCTCTTTTATTATTTTGAACTCTTTCTGGACTTTCTTGTACGTTAAATGTGTGATTTTATAAATCTTTCTTGGATTTAACTTTACTTTTAAAAATATCAATTTTTATTTAGAGTTAAGCATGCATGCTTGATTTTTATTTAATGATTATTTATCGTACACTTTTGTAATATTCTTGTATTTTAGCATTCTATGTTATCCAAGGGTAGTAAGACTTTTCTATCAATGATTCTTGATAAATAAATAAAAAATGAAAGAAAAAAAAAACTGTATCTTTAATTATAATTATCTTCTATTCTTCTCCTTCTTGTTACCATAATTTAGAATCAAATATTGTGAGATAATAAATTCTTATATATCTGTTGGGAATTTTATGCATAATAATAGTAAAAACATCAATAATTTCTAAATAGTCATATAAGATTCATATTTTAAGTTATACATGCACATATATTCACTACATCTGAGAGCAATTTCGTTTTGAATTAGAGAGTGTTTAAAATTGCTCTAAAATCTTGCGCTATATGATGTATTATATTTAAAAAAAGCAGTTAAATAACCACTCTCAAATATTAAGATTGGAGAGCAGTTTCATGCGGAACCGCTCTTTAAAGTATAGATGTAGACTGCAAATTTAAAATTTGAAATTGATTTCTTTTTTAGTTTTCTGTTACAAAGTAAAATTAATTTAATATTACGTTTAAATCAAAATTTGGAATTAATTTCTTCGTAAGTTTTCTTTATTTTTATTGAATCTTGAGTTTATACATTTGGTGTTAACCAAACAGTCCACATTTGCATGAATCAAACACAAGTAAGCAAAGAAAAAAGAGGATAAATTAGTAAGATAATTTTTAACGTTAATAGAGAAAAAAAGAAAGAAAGTTGAATAAATAATTCACTGTTAACAAAGAGAAGAAGAAAGAAAGAGAGAATGAAGAAGTACCTACAGATATGGAAAAAAAATTAATTTGTTAGCGCAAAGAAGATGAAGAGAGCAGGCTAACAGAGAATTAAGAGGTACCTACAGATGTGAAAAAAAATTAATTGTAGCGTAGAGAAGATGAAGAGAGCAGGCTAATAGAGAATTAAGAGGTACCTACAGATGTGGAAAAAAAAATTAATTGTAGCGTAGAGAAGATGAAAAGAACAAGCTAACAAAGAATGAGGTTAAACAACATTTATATGATAATAGAAATACACCAAACATGATCAAACAAAATAAGGTTAAAATGAAATCAAGGTTGATCAAGGATTAAATGAGTTGTATCACCAAAGGATGCCTACAAAATAACAAGATAAAATATCAAAAATTATACAAAAGAAATAAGAAAATATAACTGAATTATTTTTAAGTTAAATGATATTACTATTAACAATGTAGTAAAACTGAATTAATTGTTAAAAGTGTGAAGAAGACTATAACACGAAGGTGCTTAACAATGTACCTCACATGGTTCAAAAGGGGTGAGTTCATTTTCCTAAGTTATTCTTAAAAGAATGACATGTGGTTATAATAAGTAGAAATTGACTTATTTATTAGTATATGCATAGATATATGTACCTAAGAAGCATGACTTTATAATTAACCTCTAATTGAACCATTCTTATTCCCTTTTTCTTATAACTTAACCTAACTTTTGAATCATCCATACCTATTCTCTTTATGCTTGATTGTTACTTGAAATCCTTAAGTTGTGTACCATCTATCATTGGTCCCCATTATAGGAGCATCATCATTTTGGTTGTTAGTACTCTATGCTTGCAATTAAAGGTGTGTGATTCAGCAAAAAAACAATGTTTAGACTTTCATCTACTAATTAAGAGCATTCTCCATAAGTAAGTACATCAAATGCAAGTTTAATCATTTTAAAAGGTAGTTGTCGACAACGTCATGTAGTAACAAGTTTAAGACCCTTTATTAGACTCTCAATTCTCACTTTATTATGTGAAAGATTTATTAAATGGAGGGACTTGAAGGCTTCTTTTGTTTAATTTACTCCTTATTGATTTTAATGATGTAATTTATTTTAAGAAACTGAAGGTTTACTTAATGATTTGATTTCTTTTATTTAAATTGTTTCTTTAGTTGACTCTACATGTCTTTTAATATATTATAAATAATTCTTTCTTTAACAATGTTTTAAATTTTTTAACTGTTTCAAGGTATGTTTGGGAGGAGGTTTTTGGAGGAAAAGGAAGGGAAAGATATATTTTAAATTTTAAATTAAAAGAATTATATATTATTTATGATGACAAATACATTATTAATATATTAATTTATATTTTTTATTTTTTAAAAATATTAATTTTAAATATATTTATTTAAAATATAAATTTTGCCCTCCTCTTCACTCCCTTCTCCTACAAAACCCTCCTTCCTAAACAATCCCTTCCTTGAAAAAAAAAATTTAGCTTGTATTTTAATTATGAGTTATTGCAATAATTTTTGGTATTTTTTGCATTATTCACATAAGGTAGGTGTGATTCGCTCAAGCTAAATACATTGTCTTAAGAATCTTACTCTTAGTTGATAATTTGTTTAAGCCATTTAAAACTCGCTTCAACGAAACAGATTTTGCTTTAGCAATTTAGTCTTGCTTAAGCGACTTACTCAACCTAGCATGGTATAATTATTTTAGAAGCTAGTTATTGATATCATCATCTAGTAGCAAATTCAAGATCCCTTTGTAAGACCCCTGGTTCTTCTTTAAGCATGCTAGATATTCATTTAAGCTATTCATAACTAGCTTAAGCAAAAATTGTATTCACTTAAGCAAAAATTGTATTCTCCTTTTAAAAATAAAAACAAACATGCTCTAATGTCTAGTTCTCACACAAATTAGAGAGAATTTGAATCCATTTGACATAACTCATATAAGATATTTTTTAATAATATACTACATAAATTAATGTTTAAAATTATGATTATTAGTTAATTTTGTTTTCAAAATAATCTTTACTTAATAATTTTAAGGATTAAATAATATTTTTATGATTTAAAAATTATATTAGTTATTAGCCATTGTAAACTAATTTGATGTATTAAATATTAGATACTGGAATAAAATTAAATGAATAACTATATTTTATCTAGCTTTCTTTAATTTCCCCTTTGATAGAATTAAAATGAACTATTTTCGTTATTGTATATTCTTTTATGTGTTCTTTTAAACTACTTCAAATTAATATAAAATAAAAATCATATATAAGAAGGGAAATTTATTAAGCTATATTATTTTGAACATAATTAATAATTTTATTAAAATTATTTTAATTATTTATGTTAAATTTTATTATAATTAAATAATTATAAAAATATGATAAAATTATATATATATATATATATATATATATATATATTCATGTCTTGTTTCCCTTAGTTATTAAATATTTAAAATAACTTGTGTCATAAA